GAGTTTATCTTGCCTGCGGCGGAGGGCCCCCTGAAGGCCCAGATTGTCTAAACACGATGTGGCTGGCTCGAGAGGCGAAGAAACCCAGCCACCAGACCCTGGAAAGTTGGATTTGTTTTTGCAAATGTGGGAGCAGCTACTGGGCTTTGGGAGAAGGGCCTAGTATACCAGGCCTCACACTGGTGTGTGCCAGTTTGATCAAGAATGGTTAACCCCTTCATGTCCCTGGTTGTGAGGTCCTCTGGGAAGCAGGGAAGATGCAATAAAAATAAACCCACATGTTTATAAGTGGGGTGAATCCCAGTCTGGGAAAGTCTGAGAGGTAAGGATACCTTGGTATTGGCTTTCCAGGAAGGAATTTTGTAATCTTGGGGCAGAAGGCAAGAACTGGAAGTGAGATGGGAGCTCACAGAGGAACAAAGGCCATGTATGCAGGGGGCAGTGGCAGCTGTTTTCGCAGTGCAGGTGAGGAGCTCAGACTGGAGCCTCCGCGATCATATCCTTGAAGATGATCGGACACCAGCGTGGACCACAGCTGTAAGCAGAGCACAGGCGAACCCCACGGGCACAGGTGGCCTCACTGCCACCCAGTATACTACTTAAGGGCTTCATGCTCGCACCTGAGACTCAGATCAGGCTGGGTGATCCCAGGGAGTGCTCACTCTCCAAAACTGGGCCCGAGGGCCACACGCTTACAAAGAGCTCTGAGATGCTGGCAACCACCTTTATAGCCAAGCCCCCTACAAGCCCCAGCCTGCCTTCTAACTTCTGAATGACAGGTTGCCCTCACCACGCCCTCTCCAGGTGGGGGCAGTGGGGGAGGGTTTTCTTGATATCTAGGTGTCCTAGTTCTTTTTCTTTTCAGAGCAATTTTTGCTATAGGGTGCGTGTGTTCACTAGAGAGTCAGAAAGTGAGAAATCACTTCCCAGGGGGATGGCCATGCTGCAATCCCTTCTCCTCCATTCTTCTCTCGGGATCTTGGGCATGCCCACGTGCATGGCATGACATTTAAGCCACTGGATCTGGAACTTGAACTGTGGCTAGCCATATGGGAGTCCAGTGGTGTAACCATTGAGCCATCTGCTGGTCCCTAGATGCCCTAGCGCTGGCAAGTGTACAGGAACTCTCCTTAGCTCCTGCTTCTGCCCTTCTGGTCTCACTTGCTCCCCTCTCTCTACCTGTCCCCATTAGCTGTCATCAATCTTGGGAGAAAGGTCAGATCCAAACAAATAGAATTTTACATTTTTTTAAATAACCACACCCTCTCCCCATTTATAAAATAATAAATGCTCAGAAAAATGGACTACAAGAATTCAGAGGAAAGGAAAGGCATCCCTGTTTTTTAAAACTAAGCAGACAGATGTGGCATCCCTCCGGATCCAACCTTCCTGGATCTTCCTCTTCTATTTGGTTTGGCTGCAGATTCCCCCCAAGTCTGGAGTGTCTAATTTTGATATGGACACATGGTCCTCCTGAAGAAATGCTGTGGGGCCTTTGTTGGGAGGTAAGGACGGTGAGTTCTCCATCTCTGGAGCCTAGAATCTTGGCGACGGCACAGGGAAAGGACCCATCTGAGGATGAGGTAGAGCAGAACCAAGAGAAGAAGGTCCCCATGGACCCGCCTGAGCTTCCGATCCAGCCAAGCCTGAATCCTGGTCTACCTCAGGGCGTATCCAAGGGTCTCTCATCTTTAGTTTTGCTCAGCTGGTCAGAACACAGATAGGAAAGAGCTGTGTGTCCCTCCCATCTCAGTGAAAGACCAAACGTACATAAGGCTTTTCACTTCTCAACTCCAGCCTGACCACCGACTCACACCTACCCTTTCCTCACGTCCTGTAGGCCCTGCCTCCTTCTCTTACTTGAGGAGTAGCTGCAGATCGGACAAACAAAGCAAGCAGTTCTCGACAGTGTCACACCGTGTGAGCGCTCGCAGCCTTGAGCTGCACCAGAACAGGATTCCTCAGCACAGCCTTGCAGGCAGAATGCCACCTGCGTGTCACACACGGGCACATGGAAATGCAGGATCCCATCCAGAGTCACTGGCACAGCCCAAACCGAAGTGCAGGCACCCTCTGACCCTGAGCACAAGGCCCAACAGGATTTCTTTTTTCCTAAAAGTTACTATTTTAGGTTTTGCTAGAGGGTACGTGAGCTCGGGAGAGAGTGAGAGTCAGCAATCAGTCTCCTGGGGGCATGTCCATGGTGCGATCCCTTCTCCTCCATCCTTCTCTCAGGATTTTGGGTATGCACGCACACACGCCCAATGTGATTCCCAAGACACCTGGTACGGGACTCAACCTGCGAAGCTGGCCTTAACCTCTATGCCACCTGCTGGCCCCAGGGTGACTTTTGAAACACCACACTGCTGCCTCTCAAACTTGGGTGAGCCCACTTTCCATCCCTGCCCCGCACGGTGTTTTGTTGGGGTTAACATGAATGCGACTCCGCGAAAGGTGCACTCTGCATGGCCCAGACCCAGGAGATAAGGGGATGGCGACTCGCAGTACAAAGGTTTCTAAAGATCCCAGTAAATACTTTCTGAATGAGTAGATGAGGCCCCGGCAGTGTGATTCACATCTCATGAGTTAAATTCTTACCCAACATCCACACTCATTGAGGCCACCCGGTGTGGAACACTAATGTGCTCCCGGCACTGAGTTCTCAGAAACCCAGCTAGCACACCCCGGTCACCTGTTACTCATCTGCCCACCCCATCCACCCTACTCTGTCTGACCGGTGTTCAGGGTAACAATGTGCAGAAAGGCGTTCTGAGAAACGAGGCGTGCACAGCTTTTCCTAGTATCCATTAGCCAATCAGAAACGCTACCTTCAGATGCGGCCACTCGACCTGCCTGACCTAATGGCCTCTTCCCCAACATCAGGCAGAACACAGGACTCAGAAAGCCCTTCCAATATCTCATCTAATGACGAATCTACTCGAAGAGGCAAGAAGGCCAGAGGACCTTGAGAGGCGTGTCTGCAGTCCCCAGGCTTCCACGCCCGGCTGCTCTGGGTTAGATTGCACTCTGAAGTGGAGGCTGAGTGTGGATCTGTACTACCAGACAAATTCTGCAAAATGGTGAGTGTGACCCACAAATGAGAGGCATGCGCTATCGGGGCATCTCCAAAAAAAGTGACAGAAAATCATCTCCCTTTACTAGCATGCACTTCTGCGAGGTTCTCACGTAACTGCTGTTGATTTCCACAGAGCTGCAGAAAAGCAGCCACCCATGGTACACACACACACACATATAAGCCAGCAGGACCCTAAGCATCTGGTATTTGTGAGCACAAGCTACTGACACCTGCCAGCCTTCCAATCTGACCCATCCCCTTCAGCCAAGAGACTTGGCAATGGCCGCCTGGTGTATGTGAGACCTGCCTTGCTCCATTGTGGGTGTCTCTGAACC